GAGAGGGATTAGAATACCTGTCAAATTTATAATGCTGTGTGTGTCACCCTCACCATTTGCTTGTTTACCATTATTACAAAAAATGAAAGTAAATCTCAAATTTGGGGCTGTCCCTAGAACAGGAATAGAGGGGAAATCTTCCAATAAGGAGATTAGTTCTGGTGACCCTGGTGCAAACAGGGATTCCCTCACTTTGGAGGAATTTCTTCTCACTTCCTGTTTTGGCTATGGGACAGAAAGGAAAAAGAAATCTTCCAAATGTGAAACAGATAGCAAAAAAAAAAAACAAAAAAACAAATCTGACCCTCCCTTACACTGTTTGAAATGAAAAAAAAAAGTTTTGCTTTTAGTTCTACTTTAACTTACATTACATTAAGGGGAAAAGCATACACATCTATGTAGACAGTTCATGTAATATATATGTATAGATTGAATACGAGACGTCAGTCCTCCAAATCTACAGTCCTTTTCACTAAGTCAGCATACTGTCCAAACACAGACAACTGAGATTCCGATCTTATTGACAACTTCTGGTGCCTGTCAGCCATATTTTTCCCAGTTTTAATTTTCTAAAGTTTTTAATGCAAAGTTCTACAGGCTGGGATAGAAGCAATCTGTCTTTGTATATTAAAGTGTTGCTTGAAATTGCAAACCCTGCTTACTCAGTGGAGCCATAAAGAAATACATACACACATAAATATATTACTGCTCAAGTTGCTACAGTAAAGTTTTATATCAGAGGGACAGTTTAATCTCCTATTAGGTCATTTTTCAATATTCATTGAAGCCAGAACAGAGTGATTTATTCCTTCCACGAAAAACTATTCTATAATGGTTTGTTTTGAAAATTCTTCAGGACGTTACGGACTCTGTAACTTAGTGCAGACTTTTTAATTTGAAATGCCTAAACTGGACATTTTTGGGAAACTATCTGTAGAATACAAATGTATTTTTCCCAAGATCTGTTTTACCAAGTGTTGCTGTCGCCAAAGGCAGGAAAATTGGAGCAAGGATAATTTATAAGAAAGCTGTTCATCTTCTAGATATATACATCAGGTAGAAAGAAGAAAGAGAATTCATTTAAGAAATACACAGAATCAGGTGAAGTATACACGACAGTAGTTCGCTCCATTTACAAAATTTAGAAGAAAATATAAACTTCAAGTGCGGGAATCATCCTTTCATCTTTCTGTTTCCTGCCCTCTCTTGGATCTGAGAAGAGAGAAGTGTCCATATCAGTGTAGAAACACTGAGATGGCCCAATTCTTATTGTAGAAATGTTGCTGTGAAAGTCAGACCATGGGTGTGTATATACAGTACATGGGTGTAACTTCAGATCATGGGGCCCCATAGTAAAATTTAGATGGGGCCCTCAGTGACCTTCCTACGATCAACAAACTTAACAAAAAGTTTTTCTAAATCAAGTAAAGGTAGCAGCAGAGCTGTCACCACAGTCAGTAGGTCACTAGGGAGCTTGGGTTTGGTCTGAACCCATGTTTGGCTGAACCCGGAAGGAAGATGGCAGCGCCAGCCCAATCACCTATGGCTGGGCTATATCTGGCCCTGCAACTGCTCAGACACATAGGGGCAGGGATGCTTGTTACATCATCAACTTACTATGGATGCATGGCCATATTAGGTCAGTGACATTGACCTAATATGGCCATGTGTTCTTATTGTATGAATTATTAGTAGGGGCAGTAGTAATAGTTACATGGCATAAGAGTTTATCTGGAACAGAAGTGTCATATTTATCTACAGTTAAGACTGCACCTTTTGGGCAGTAACTTCACAAACTTGTTGTGGAAGTACAGCAGATTATTTTCATTTTCTTGCATTTACGGCACTGCTGCTTTTTTTTTTTCAGGTCATGTTGCATAGTTTGCAATGTGCTATGTTGAACCACACTGGAAGCAGTACTTGTTCTGTGTATGTGGAGCTTTGCTTTGCAGTTTAGATGTATCTCTTGTACATTTGTATTCGGCTTGAGTATACAGGCAGAAGCAAACTCTGAATCGACAGTCTTTATGGTGCCAGAGGCCACCTGAGGGTTTAACTTTGGCTTGAAATTGTAATAGCCTTTGCTAGAGTTAAATATTGTTCCAAGCTCAATCTTAATGTAATGTGGACTGAATTTGTTTTTTCTACTAGTTCATGTCATTTTGGAGTCCATTCACATCAGATGCATGGGCACATTTGTTTTCAATGCATGCCAATGCAAGTACCTGAAGAAAAGAAGGTATGTGAGTGGGAGTTCTCACTGGTGTTTTGTGTAGATAGGCACTATTTTTTCATAATGCAACGCATAGCAACGCATGTCAGTGCAATGCACCTCAACACACAGGAAAACAGCAGACCAACACAAGCTTGGCTCCTGTGCCATGCCGTAGATCATTTACATGGCCAAGGAAGTGAGGAAAAAATGTATTTTAAAAGCAACACAACACATTGCACTTCAATGCACCATGCCCACACACTTTTGGTGTGAACAGACCCATAGACCACCAAACCCAAAGGTAACAACTGATTTTCTCAAGGCTATTATATATTGTCCTGTGAGTTTTTCATTATGCCATCCATGTTGCCAAAATGTATATTGTTCTGCAATAAAGTTTACTAAAGGCAGAAAGAAGATCTTTACCCCCTTTAGTCCCCAGTCTTTTTGGAGGTGATCTGCTGTTACATTGCTGCATGGGTGGGCCTGGATCTGATTTCCACTGACCAGATCCATACCCCCTGTGAAAAAAGTGTACAATAATTAAATAAATAAGCTCTCCCCCCATGCTCTCTCCCTTTCTCCCTCTCTATCTTGAACCGTGACATCACCAAAATGAAAAAAAAAAAACCCTCCAAGACTCAAGAAGGTCTGGGAAGGAAAAGTTCTAGGAACTCAAGAGGTTAATGCTCACACCATAAGGGTCATTTTGCTAATGGTAGAGTATAGAGATTACGCTGTCCTTGTGCTCCCAGACAGTGAATAAATAAGGCACACTTTCTTGCTCTACGTAAGTCCCCTTGATTAGCAACAAGTTTGTCATTCTCCAACATACCAATCCAAGCAGTAAGCATTGAAGGCTCACCAAAATGTGGAGGAAAATGTTCAGGCTGCAGTATAGATAGAAAAGACGTCCTCTTTGCCAGTCAAGCTGTGTCCTGTAGTAGAGAGGCATTGTAGTCATACAGTGGTTTATTAAAATTCAGGGGTCCAAAATACATGTGCAGGCTTCTGAATATCTCATAATGGGGACAGGAAGTATTATACATGTACAAACTGTAAATAATGTCATCTAAAGACCAGGGATATGAATACTACAAAGACCAAAATATCTGGTGCATCCCACCACACGTGAGGGAAAACAAAATGTGTCACCATGAGGAGCTACTTTTTACTACTGTACAAAGACTTTCCCAATGAAGGAAGGGATGCCTCTGCTACCCACCATAGCTGCACTACTAACTGAGGACAAGCAGGCAGCAATAGTAGCAGCTCCACCAGCAGAGGATGTCTAAAAGAGGTATTGCAAACTTTTTGCAGGCAGCAGTGGAGTGTCCTGGCCCAAGATTATTATTATTATACAGTATTTATATAGCGCCAAAAGGTTTGCTCAGCGCTGTACAATATATTGGGGGACAGTACATGAGACAATACAGTAACAAAACAATACACGAGGGGTTCGAGGGCCCTGCTCTTTTGAGCTTACAATCTAGGAGGGAGGGGATAGTGGTACTGGAGGAAGTGGCTGTGGGGGGGTGGAGTGGTAGGAAGAGTGGAGGAGATCGGCTGTTAGCTGAGGGTGGGGTAGGCTTCCCTGAAGAGATGGGTTTTCAGGGTGCGCCTAAAGGTGAGCAGGGTAGGTGACAGTCTGATGGATTGGGGTAGTGAGTTCCAGAGGATGGGGGAAGTCCTGGAGAGGTCCTGTAGTCGGGCATGGGAGGAGGAGACCAGGGAGCTAGAAAGTAGGAGGTCTTGTGAGGAGTGAAGAGTACGGGTTGGGTGGTATTTGGATATCAGGTCGGTGAGGTAGTTTGGGGCAGTGTTATGAATAGCTTTAGCACTCATATGTATGGTTTGTTCACAATGATAAACATGTAATTGTGCCCAACCTTAGAAGTGAAGGATGACCCCAGAAATGAAGGATGGACCAGTAGCTGGAACTTGCAGAACATGTGCTAGATGTGGTGTCCTCTCCTGCTGTTTTGAAAAAAATTGATGTTTAGCGCACCTGGAGGGGTTGTGACCAACAGCCTCAAATATCATTGTTTGGCCACAACAGCAAATTACAAGCTCATAGAAGTCTACGGGGCTGTAATGTGCAGGCTCAGCCAAAAAAGCGAGACTTGTGGAGTTAAATATAAGCAAACACCATGGCCATGGCCACTTGAACAAAGCAAGTATGCATCAGTGGAGGGGAGGGTGGGTGAGGTTAGGTCAGGGGAGAGAGATAAAAAGCATAAGTACACTTTGTTTTAAAATTTCAGTGCACAAAAATGCATATTGAATAGTGTAAACAAGCCCTGCTGCTTGCACAGACATATTTATAACTACCATCAACAAAAAATGCCTAAAAAACACAAATCACTAAAAAGGTTTTGTTTACTAAAACAGCAGCCCAAAGCAACCGATTTCCAACACTTTTAGTAAATAAAAACCATTTATCAGGTTCCTATGGGGGGGATTTACTAAAACTGGAGAACTCAGAATCTGGTGCAGCTGTGCATGGTAGCCAATCAGCTTCTAACTTCAGCTTGTTCTATTAAAACTATTTCACAATAAACTTTGAAACTGATTGATTTCTATGCAGAGCTGCACCAGATTTTGCACTGTCCAATTTTAGTAAATAAAATCACAAAAGACAAAGATGTTAATTAGAGATGAGCGAATTATTCAAAAATTTGATTCGGCTGATTCGGCGAATTCGCGGAATAAATTCGATTCGAGTCGAATATATTCGCTGCGAATTTAACTTATAAAAAGGGTGTTTCTAGGCTTCAGAGAGCCTTTATATTAGTGCAGAACACTGTACCTTTAATTTAAATGCCCTTGGAGTCTGCTGGGGAAGAGAAATAATACTGTCAGTCAGTATGACATGCAGATGAGTGCCGTCGATCTTAGAATCGCCGCACACTTCACTCATTTGGGCAGTCACGGGGCCAAAACCAGAGTGTGGAGCCACAGTGTGGCGGTGGAGGCAGCAGCAATGGGAGGCCATACAGCACCCTATGAAAAAATGGAACCCACCAGCAGTGTGAGGAGACCTGAAAAGTGGCACATGGCAGAGTGTGGCGATGGAGACAGCAGCAATGGGAGGCCGTACAGGGACCCATGACACACTCTGGACCTGGCAGCAGCATGAGGAGGCGGTACAGGGGCCCATGACAGATTACGGGCCTGGCAGCAGCATGAGGAGTCGGTACGGGGGCCCATGGCAGATTACGGGCCTGGCAGCAGCAATGGGAGGCCATACAGCACCCTATGACAAAATGGAACCCACCAGCAGTGTGAGGAGACCTGAAAGTGGCACATGGCAGAGTGTGGCGATGGAGACAGCAGCAATGGGAGGCCGTACAGGGACCCATGACACACTCTGGACCTGGCAGCAGAATGAGGAGGCGGTACAGGGGCCCATGACAGATTACGAGCCTGGCAGCAGCATGAGGAGTCGGTACGGGGGCCCATGGCAGATTACAGGCCTGGCAGCAGCAATGGGAGGCCCGTAATCTGCCAGCACCCTATGACAAAATGGAACCCACCAGCAGTGTGAGGAGACCTGACAGTGGCACATGGCAGAGTGTGGCGATGGAGACAGCAGCAATGGGAGGCCGTACAGGGACCCATGACACACTCTGGACCTGGCAGCAGCATGAGGAGACGGTACAGGGGCCCATGACAGATTACGGGCCTGGCAGCAGCATGAGGAGTCGGTACGGGGGCCCATGGCAGATTACGGGCCTAGCAGCAGCAATGGGAGGCCATACAGCACCCTATGACAAAATGGAACCCACCAGCAGTGTGAGGAGACCTGAAAGTGGCACATGGCAGAGTGTGGCGATGGAGACAGCAGCAATGGGAGGCCGTACAGGGACCCATGACACACTCTGGACCTGGCAGCAGCATGAGGAGGCGGTACAGGGGCCCATGACAGATTACGGGCCTGGCAGCAGCATGAGGAGTCGGTACGGGGGGCCCATGGCAGATTACGGGCCTGGCAGCAGCAATGGGAGGCCCGTAATCTGCCAGCACCCTATGACAAAATGGAACCCACCAGCAGTGTGAGGAGACCTGAAAGTGGCACATGGCAGAGTGTGGCGATGGAGACAGTAGCAATGGGAGACCGTACAGGGACCCATGACACACTCTGGACCTGGCAGCAGCATGAGGAGGCGGTACAGGGGCCCATGACAGATTACGGGCCTGGCAGCAGCATGAGGAGTCGGTACGGAGGCCCATGGGAGATTACGGGCCTGGCAGCAGCAATGGGAGGCCATACAGCACCCTATGACAAAATGGAACCCACCAGCAGTGTGAGGAGACCTGAAAGTGGCACATGGCAGAGTGTGGCGATGGAGACAGCAGCAATGGGAGGCCGTACAGGGACCCATGACACACTCTGGACCTGGCATCAGCATGAGGAGGCGGTACAGGGGCCCATGACAGATTACGGGCCTGGCAGCAGCATGAGGAGTCGGTACGGGGGCCCATGGCAGATTACGGGCCTGGCAGCAGCAATGGGAGGCCATACAGCACCCTATGACAAAATGGAACCCACCAGCAGTGTGAGGAGACCTGAAAGTGGCACATGCAGAGTGTGGCGATGGAGACAGCAGCAATGGGAGGCCGTACAGGGACCCATGACACACTCTGGACCTGGCAGCAGCATGAGGAGGCGGTACAGGGGCCCATGACAGATTACGGGCCTGGCAGCAGCATGAGGAGTCGGTACGGGGGCCCATGGCAGATTACGGGCCTGGCAGCAGCAATGGGAGGCCCGTAATCTGCCAGCACCCTATGACAAAATGGAACCCACCAGCAGTGTGAGGAGACCTGAAAGTGGCACATGGCAGAGTGTGGCGATGGAGACAGCAGCAATGGGAGGCCGTACAGGGACCCATGACACACTCTGGACCTGGCAGCAGCATGAGGAGGCGGTACAGGGGCCCATGACAGATTACGGGCCTGGCAGCAGCAATGGGAGGCCGTACAGGGACCCATGACACACTCTGGACCTGGCAGCAGCATGAGGAGGCGGTACAGGGGCCCATGACAGATTACGGGCCTGGCAGCAGCATGAGGAGTCTGTACGGGGGCCCATGGCAGATTACGGGCCTAGCAGCAGCAATGGGAGGCCCGTAATCTGCTAGCACCCTATGACAAAATGGAACCCACCAGCAGTGTGAGGAGACCTGAAAGTGGCACATGGCAGAGTGTGGCGATGGAGACAGCAGCAATGGGAGGCCGTACAGGGACCCATGACACACTCTGGACCTGGCAGCAGCATGAGGAGGCGGTACAGGGGCCCATGACAGATTACGGGCCTGGCAGCAGCATGAGGAGTCGGTACGGGGGCACATGGCAGATTACGGGCCTGGCAGCAGCAATGGGAGGCCATACAGCACCCTATGACAAAATGGAACCCACCAGCAGTGTGAGGAGACCTGAAAGTGGCACATGGCAGAGTGTGGCGATGGAGACAGCAGCAATGGGAGGCCGTACAGGGACCCATGACACACTCTGGACCTGGCAGCAGCATGAGGAGGCGGTACAGGGGCCCATGACAGATTACGGGCCTGGCAGCAGCATGAGGAGTCGGTACGGGGGCCCATGGCAGATTACGGGCCTGGCAGCAGCAATGGGAGGCCGTACAGGGACCCGTGACACACTCTGGACCTGGCAGCAGCATGAGGAGGCGGTACAGGGGCCCATGACAGATTACGGGCCTGGCAGCAGCATGAGGAGTCGGTACGGGGGCCCATGGCAGATTACGGGCCTGGCAGCAGCAATGGGAGGCCCGTAATCTGCCAGCACCCTATGACAAAATGGAACCCACCAGCAGTGTGAGGAGACCTGAAAGTGGCACATGGCAGAGTGTGGCGATGGAGACAGCAGCAATGGGAGGCCGTACAGGGACCCATGACACACTCTGGACCTGGCAGCAGCAAGAGGAGGCGGTACAGGGGCCCATGGCAGAGTGGCGAAGCGTAAGCAGCTTAAATTGAAGGCCATACAGAGGCCTATGTTAAAAATAATAACATGTTTGGGGCATGATTCATGGCGGATTTAGTCAGTTGTGTCAGGAACTGGTGGTTTGAAATCCAGACTAATCCACGCCTGATTCATTTTCACAAACGTGAGTCTCTCCACACTTTGGGTGGACAGTCGTGTCCTCCGTGGAGTTACAATACCTCCTGCCGCACTAAACACGCGCTCCGATGCCACGCTACTGGCCGGGCATGACAGCCTTTCAAGGGCAAATTCAGCTAGTTGGGGCCAAAGGTCAAGTTTCGTTGCCCAGTAGTCAAGGGGATTGTCTACCTCGGTTGGCAGGGTGCTGTCCAAGTAGGCCCAAGCCTGTTGTTTGAGGTCCTGCTCCAGGTCCACCTGATGCTGCTGCTGCTGTGGCTGGTTAGTAGTTTCCTCACTGCGCACAGGGCCCACAGTGTCTGAGGATGGACGTTGGCGCAGAAAGGCAGAGACCAACTGACTACATAGGTGGTTTTTATAGTACGTTATTTTGGCCTCCCTCTCAGCAGGTGTGAAAAAGGCCACCATTTTTGAACGGTAGCGAGGGTCCAACAAGGTGGACAGCCAAAAGTCATCCCTCTGTCTGATGGTTATTATTCGGCTGTCGCTACGCAAGCAACCGAGCATGCTATGGGCCATTTGTGCCAAGGAATGCGAGGGACTCCCTGCCTCCATCTCCACAGCATACTGCCACGGTGCGTCTGGGTCCTCTGTCTCCTCCTCCTCCTCTACCAGATGCTCCTGCTCCTCCACTCCTGTCCGCTGAGTGGAAAAACCACCCATTTCACTCAATAATTCCTGAGCACCAATGTCCTCCTCTACCTCCTCCTCTTCTTCCTGTCCTGCCCCCACAGGGGTCATGTGGCGTTGAGATCTGTGCGCCACGTCTACCGCACCCTGACCAGCCATTGTTAACAGCATTTGTTCCAGGACGTGCAACAGAGGAATGACGTCGTTCATCCCATAGTCCTGCCGACTCACGAATAGCGTGGCCTCCTCAAAGGGCCTGAGCAAGCGGCAGGTGTCACGCATGAGCTGCCAATGGCTGACATCTAAGTTACACAGGGGAGTACCTTTATCCGCTTGTAACATCAGGAAATCGGTGATGGCCTTTCGCTGTTCGTAAAGGCGGTCTAACATATGTAGGGTTGAATTCCACCTTGTTGCAACGTCGCAGATCAGGCGATGCTGTGGAATTCCGTTCTGCCGCTGCAGCTCAAGGAGGGTGTGCTTTGCGGTGTAGGAATGGCTGAAATGCATGCAAAGTTTACGTGACATTTTAAGGATGTCTTGCAGTGGGATGGTGGATTTTAGGAACCGCTTGACAACCAGATTGAACACGTGAGCCATGAATGGCGCATGGCACAACCTTCCTTGACGCAGAGCAGACACCATGTTCTTTCCGTTGTCGGTCAACATTTTCAGTTCCGATTTTCAGTTTGCGCGGAGACAGCCATCTGTCGATTTCTCTGTTCATTACACTCAGAAGTTCCTCCCCTGTGTGACTACGTTCGCCAAGGCATACCAGGTGCAGCACAGCGTGACACCGTTGCGCCCTGCACATGTGATATGCCGGTCGGGTAATGGGACTTGGCATGGGGGTGGCGGCTGAGGACATGGCGGAAGAAGAGGTGGTAGAGGCGGACATCTTTGCTGGACCAAGGACGTGCAAACGTGGAGGCAAAAGCGGCGTGACCTGTCCAAGTTGCTGGTGCGGCTGTGCCGGCACCACACGTTCACCCAGTGGGCCGTAAATGACATGTACTGTCCCTGACCGTAGTTACAGCTCCACACGTCGGCGCTGCCGTGCACTTTGGCAGAGACCGACATGCTCAAAGACTGGCCCACCATCTCTTCTACATGTGAATGCAGGGCTGGCACTGCCTTTTTGGCGAAGAAATGCTGGCTTGGCACTCTCCACCGCGGCGCGGCACAAGCCATCATTTCTCGGAAAGGTGCTGAGTCCACCACTTGGAAAGGGAGGGACTGCAGCACCAGCAACTTGGACAGGAGGACATTCAGCTTCTGCACCGTCGGGTGCGTGCTCGCAAACTGTTGTCTCTTGGAAACGGATTCCAAGAAAGACTGCTGACGGAATCCGTGAAGAGGAGTAGCAGGAGAAGGAGCATCTGAACAAGCGGAAGATGCCAACGAGCGACAACTCCCCTCAGCAGAGGTGTTGGAGCCTTGACTGGCATAGAGGGGGCGATTGACGTCGGGTGACGGAGCAAGTAACGGAGCGGGAGTGATGGAGCGGGGGCTGGGGCAGGCAGAACCGCGTATCTTTATCACGGTTTTCCCAGGCCACCGAATGGCGACGCTGCATATGCTGACGCAACGCTGTAGTCCCAACATGGGCCCCCTGGCCACGCAACTTGGGCCCCCTAGTCGACATACGGCTACGTTTACTTCCTCGGGCGGCTTGACGAAAAATTGCCACACCGCCGAGTAGGAAACTTTGCCCCCGCTACTCCTCACTGGCTGACTGCTACTTCCTCCGTGCACACCGGCACCAAGTGCGATCTTCCCTCATCATCATCAATTAGGGTCTCCGCGTCACTACTATGCCCCCCCTCGGCTGCATGTGGGTCAGGAGACAGACCTGTCTCTAGACCGTGCTACCGAAGCCACTCTCCTCAGCCGGAACTTCGCTGACTTGCTTATGAGAGGCGGATGACTGCTGCGGGCCGGGGGCCGATCCTGACGCGTGCCCTCTGTTAGCTCTTCCTCACTTGTACCGTGGGGGCTTGAGCCCTCAGCATGCGATACTTGGCCCCCCCCCCCTGGGGGGCTTTTTTTGTTTGGGAGGAAGGCGACCGAAAGGACAGTGTGCCGGTCGAGGACACGTGATTTCAGTGGGCTGCTCCCGCCATGCCAACTAACGGTTTGTCTGACGTACCCCTAAACATTTCCTCCTCTGCCACCCTCTGCTTTTTTCTGCTACCTTTAATTTTAACGATTTTGTGTCCCCGATAACGATTCGTGTCCCGGGGGTAAAAATTTGGTCCCCAGAACAATTGTGTCCCTGATAACGATTCGTGTCCCTGATAACGTTTCTGTGTCCCTGAAACATTCTGTCCCCCATAACGTTCTTTGTCCCTCAGAACATTCTTGTCCCTGAGTAACGAACTGTGTCCCAGTAACATTTTTGGTCCCTAGTAAAAATTCTGTGTCCCTAGTAACGATTCGGTCCCTGATAACGATTCTGTGTCCCCGAGAACAAATTCTTGTCCCTAGTAACATTCTGGCCTAGTAACATTCTGTGTCCCTATAACGATTTGTCCCCCCCGTGTTTGTGTCCCCGATAACGATTCTGTGTCCCTGAGTAACGATTCTGGTCCCCAAAATAACGATTCGTGTCCCTAGTAAAGATTCTGTGTCCCTAGTAACATTCTTGTTGG